GAAAAAATCAGAGTTAATGTTTTGGGTCCAGTGACCCTTCCTCAGAATCCTTCTGTTCCGAGGAAGGGTCACCGGACCCAAAATGTTAACTCTGATTTTTTCTTCACAGGTGCTGCCGGACCTGCTGAGCTTTTCCAGCATCTTCTGTTTGTGTTTCTGATTTACAGCATTCGCAGTTCTTTCGGTTTTTATCATGCATGGTTAAATGTGGAAATCCAGAAGGTGCTGTCAGTGTTTCTCTGCTGACCTATAGAGTGCGCTGTTGATGTCTCCCAGATTGCAATTAATTAGAAATTATTGAACTGACGAAAGCTTGGCTTTTTTATGCTTTTCATCTTTCTGTCAAAATCTACAGCCTGTTGAATAGGTGTAACAGGTTTTTAAACAGCACGCTGAATTCATAACTAGTGCTGAAAACTATTTTTGGATCTGAAAATATTTTGTGCAATGTCAATTTCTCAGTTGTGATAATAAAATCACAGATATTTTAAAATAATTTTCTTTTACAGTTAATGATATTTCAGCTTCTACCAGAATTACATTGCAGATCTCAACCACTCATTTCTCTCTCTATCAAGTTTCTTTAAAAGTAGACAATTTTACATCTGTCTCTGGGTGTACATGGTTAGCTGCTTTCCTTATCACTGGACTCAGACCTTCCAGTTTGGGCGCCCACATCAAACTAACTGTAGAAAAGAGGAAATTTGTGCTACAGAAATTGTTATCCCTTTGTGGGCAGCCTACTTTGAGGTAATTGCTTCCCCACCGACATTTCCCCATTGTATCTACATAAACTCTGGATATATCCCCAGAAGTCCTGGAGTCAAATTGAACTCTAAATGTCAACTCTCTCCACAGATGCTGCCAGAACAGCTGAATTTCTCCAGCTTTCTCGGTGTTTGCTTGTTTCAGATTTCTAGCAGCTGCTTTTAGCCCTGGAGACTACTACATTGAAGTCTAGTATAACATAAGGTTGAATGTACAGAGAGCACTTACTGTGCTTTCAAAAATAACCCGCAAATCCACTGGATGTGAATGCAAATTGCAAAGGTCTAAACCCTGCTTCCCTGACAGACAAAACACAGCAAGGATTGACAATGTAGGACATCTTACTTATCAGAGCAGGCTCACATTTCTGGAGAAATTGAAGCCTTTCTCAGTTGTACTGAGAGAAAGCAGAAACATCTTATTCATGGAGTTTGCTGTAGCAAGCATTCATTGGCATTTCACAAGCTTACAATGAGCCCAGCTGGTCTCTTTTGTTTTAAGCAAACTCTGTAGGGCTTCAACAAAGTAGTTATGTGCAATCTGTTGGTTGCTGAACGTTAGCAATGGTGTTTCAACAGGACTCTCCAGATGGTGTGTGTAAAAGTCTGACTATCATTCTGCCAATGGGATTACCAGCTGCCAAAGACCGTTATCCCCGGCCCATCAATCAGCTTTCAGCAAAGCCTTCGACCTCTCGGGTTACCTTTCCACACCAACCCACTCAACCGAAAGTTGCCTCTGGACATTTGCTAATCAAATTGTTTGTAAAACCCCTGTAACAATCAAACCTGCTTAGGTACGCCTCCAAACACTTAAAGTGATATTCACTTACCTACTTATGGTCAGCTTTGCGTAAAGAAACCACGAATGTGTTGCCTTTTCCACTGACCCACTGAATGGGGATTGCTGGCTGTATGAACAAGTGCTTACTGATAACCCGTCGCTGTTGTTATGCCAATGAGCACTGAGCAAATGTGTGACTGTGCTGACAGTGCAACCACTGAAGCAGATGGTGAGTCGGAGTGGGAGTGAGAACAAGAGGCCAAGCTTAGTACAGCATCGACTCATTGTTAAGCCTCTGAGGCACTGAGCTGATTTACTGCCTTTAGCATAAAACATGAAACCTTAATGAGGAAACAGGAATAATTGTAGAAAAGAATTAACTGGAATGCATCCTTTTGGAAAGACTTTTATGCTGCAGAATCATAATGGAGGACAGAGAAAGGGAGGAGGATAATAACATGGACCTGGATTTTAAAAACAGGGAATTTCTGGTGGGTACTATTTTCTCATTTCATCACAGCAGGAACAAGCAATTTTAACATTGGTGACATCCCACCTGTTCCCGGTGCAAATGTGGTGGGAGCAGCAGGAAATCATGTTGCCCAGAGATTGCCCAGCAACAGAAGGCAAGTGACTATCCTGAGGGATCACACAATGGGAGAAGCTGTTGAGGGGAGAGGGGAGACAGCAGATCATGTAAGGACCATAAAACCATAGGATATAGGAGCAGTAACAGGCTAGTCAGTCCATTGAGTCCACCATTCAATCATGGCTGATATGTTTCACAACCCTGCTCTCCCACCACCTCCCTGTGATCCTGATCCCCTTAGCAATCTATCTCTGTCTTAAATACATTGAATGGCTTGGCCTCTGAAATAACTCCACAAAGGCCAGTATACCATCACCCAAGTCACCCTTTATTTACCCATGAACAGTCCTTGAGTGTAGTACTGCCTCATTTTCATTATCTCTGACCCTCACCCTTTTTATGTGTTAGCCAGGGCCTTATTACAATCACTACAGCCTCCACAGATCTCTGCAGCAATGAGTTCCAGAGATTCACCACCCTCTGGCTGAAGAAATTCCTCAACATCTCAGTTCTAAAGGGTCGTCCCTTCACTCTGAGGCTGTGCCCTCAGGTCCTAGTTTCTCCTACTAGAGGAAACATCTTCTCCATATCCGTTCTATGCAGGCCTCTCAGTATTCTGTATGGTTTCAAACAGGTCACCTGTCATCCTTCTAAACTCTTATCAAGTACAGACCCAGAGTCCTCAACCGCTCCTCATAGGGCAAGTCCTTCATCCCCGGGATCATTCTTGTTAACCTCCTCTTGGAACCCCTCCAATGCCAGCACACCCTTCCTTAGATACAGGGCCCAAATCTGCTCACCATATTCCAAATGCGGTCAGCCTCAACAGTACATCTCTGTTCTTGCATTCTAGCCTTCTCGAAATGAATGCTAACATTCCATTTGTCTTGAATTAAAAGCCAGAGGATATTCCTGCAGGGCCCAGCAGGAAAGTTAATTCAAAATAAAGGTATCTGACCTTCCAAAACTTCCTCTGGTTCTGAACCAGTGTGTTGGCCTGGTGGAGAAGTGACTGATATTTCTTATTCATCATTGGGACCTAATTTGCAGAATAAAATAAAAAGAAGCCTGACTGTGCTGTTGTGAGATAGCGCCCCCTGCAGCCGACTTTGTGGAGCAAATAAAAATGGTGTACAACCAGTTCCCGAAGGCTACGAGACTGGGAAGAAACCAGAATAATTTTAACTGCCTATGTACTGGTCAGGTAGGGCCAAATTCACCCCTTTGTTCAAAAGAAACTATGCACTTAAGCCCTTGTGCATTTAGCTCTGACAAAACATAGCTTTGACTCAAATGGTGGAAACCTGGGACAAATGGTCAGGAATCAGCACATGAATCTAAACAGCCATGGGGAAATAATTAACAAAACAATAAAACCTCAGGACAAGCAGTGCCCTATCCCAGGTATGCAATTGCTGCTTGATCAGACATGCTCTGGTGATCATGTTGTGGTGGAAAGGTCAAAATGAATGAATTTATTTGACTTGAGCATTTTGTTTTGGAGTCTGCAGCCTCAGCTTCCAGACACAAATTTCCCTTCAACTAGGGGACCGCGTGCCAACAGCAACAAACCCAACCTTTCAGAAAGGAAGAAAATCGGACGCAAATACGTCAAGCAGCAGTACAGTGTCACTCAGGCAGCACCTACGGGTATTTTGCTGTGCTGTTATACACTGACCCCAGCAACAGCAGTAGGTACTGTCTGCCATCTCTCCAAGCCTCAAATCCAGTCTGCATTGCCAAGCAGTTTACAGGCAAACCAGCATGTAGCCAATCACAAACCAAATCATGCAGGGTCAAAGGGTAGCAAAGGGCCAACAACTAAGGCTGTTGCTGGCAAGTCCTTTAAACCCTGCATCAATTTTGATTGCATTGTTTATTCTTCAAATGATAATATTTTGCCATTTTATGGAACATGTTCCAAATCCGTTCCTTAAAAATGACAAAAACATATGTCTTGCCAAGACATCGAGTGGAATGCTCCAGGTTTCTGAAAACCACAATAATTTCAATTAGGGATTAGAAGAGGTTTTTGATCAGTACAACATTGTGCTGGACATGTTGTTAAGCTTATTTTATTGCTGAAACCCCTGATTTTTTTTGATTTTTAATTCTGCTCCATTCAAATCTAGTTATGCAGATTGGTTAACCAGGCAGTGCAGGACTTCTTGACAACAAAAAAAAAATCCAAAAGAGCTGCGGATGCTGGAAATCAGAAACAAAAACAGAAATTGCTGAAAAAACTCAGCAGGTCTGGCAGCATCTGTGGAGAGAGAAAGCAGAGTTAACATTTTGGGTTCAGTGGACCTTCTTCAGAACATAGCAACTGCTATTAGAGGCAGCTTTTGACTATAAAAAAGATAAGGAGAAACGTATTAAAGCAATTTTAGCCGGATATGCTGAATTTTGGATTTTATGATTAAATATAAAACATTTTCCTGAGTTAAAACATTTAGCTGCTTCTTCTCGAAACAAACAGGTAGCAACACAGGAGATATGTGGTGTAGTGGTAATGTCACTGGAAAAGTAACCAGAGTCTTAAGCTAATGTTCTTGACACATACAGTCATAAAGTCATAGAGTCATACAACATAGAAACAAAACCCTTCGGTCCAACTAGTCCATGCTGACCATGTTCCCAAATTAAATGGGCTCAAGGGAACTAGTGGATGTGGTGTATGTGGATTCTGAGAAGATTTCTGATGAAGTCCCACATAAGAGGTTATTGGGCAAGATTAAATCACTGGCATGTACTGAGAACTGGTTAACAGACAGTAAATGGTCAGTAAGGATAAACTTCTACAAGTTGGAGTGCCACAGGGATCAGTGCTTGGGCCCTAACTATTCGCTATAACTATCAACAATTTGAATAGGGAAGTTTTAAGGTTTAATTTTAATGTTTCCAAGTCTGTTGACAACATTAAATGAGAAGCAATTGAAAATGGTGAGGAAGATGTAAAGCAGTTTCAAGGAGATATAGACAAGTTGAGTGAGTGAGTTGAGTGAGTGAGTCATGCAGCAATGAGTAATGCAGCATATCATGGATAAGTGTAAAGTTATCCTTTTTGGTGGGAAAAACAGAATGTCAGAGAATTACGTAATCAGTGATAGATTGGGAAATGTTGTACGCCAGTCACTGAAAGCAAGGATCCAGATGCAGTAAGCAGTTAGGAAGGCAGATGGGTATGTTGGCCTTCACTACAAGATGGTTTGAGTACAGGAGCAAGGAAGTCCCAACTGGAGCTGTGCAGGACCTTGGTGACATCACATCTGGAATACTGTGTGCACTTTTGATATCCTTACCCAAGAAAAGATACATCTCCCAAAAAGGGAGCTCAGCAAAGGCATACCAGAGTGATTTCTGGGATGGCAAGTTTGCCATATGAGGTGAGGTAGGGTTGACTAGGTCTCTATTCATAGCAGTTTAGAATACTGAGAGGAGACCTCATTGAAAAGTATAACTTTCTGCTGAGGTTAGACAGGCTGGATGCAGGGATGATGTTTTCTCAGGCTGGGGGAGTGACAGCGAGGGTTTCAAATCACAAGGTGAAATGAAGGGAAATTTCTTCACTCAGAGGGTGGTAACCCTGTGGAAATTTCAACCACGTTAGTAGCTGGAGGTGAAGTCACTGAATATATTTAAGAAATAATTAGATTTCTTAAGGTGTCAAGGGGTATGGGGAGTACGGAATTGAGATAAAGGGTCAGCCATGATCCTGCAGGTAAGACTTAATGGGCTAAATGGCCTATTTTCTATGTTTTTATGAAATCCACATTAGCAGGTTGTGAAATTTAAATTAAAAGCTAGTCTAACGGTTACCATGTAACCGTTATTATAAAAATTCATCCAGTTCACTAAAGTGCTTTAGGGAAGAAATTCTGCCATCCTTACTTGGTCTGGTCTCCACGTGACTCCAGACCCAAAGCAATGTGGCTGACTTTTAACTGCCCTCTGAAATGGCCTAGAAAGTCACTCAGTTGTACTAAAACCACTACAAACGCTAATGAAACAAATGAAACCACCCAACTCTACCCCTGCTGACCCTGCAAAATCCTCCTTACTAACATCTCAGGGCTTCTACCAAACTTGGGAGAATCAAACAATGGAGTCATAAATACCAAATCATAGATGACAGAAATTGTCCCAGACACCACCATCACTAGCTCTGCTTGTATCCTGTCCCACCAGCATGGACAGACCCTAGACAGTTGGGATGGAGTTCATCTGGAAATCCACAACATTGACTCCGGCAAACCAAGGTTTCCTCTTGAGTACCATCTATCATAGTTTGTAACTGCCATAAAGCAGCATATCCTCCGCTCTGCCATTACCAGCAAGCTGGGATGTCAATCCTGGCTCAATGAAGAGTGCAGGAGGATATGCCAGAAGCAGAAACAGGGATTCCTAAAAATGAAGTGTTAGCTGCAATGTGGGAGTGCCAAACAGCAGAAGCAGGATGCAATAAATGGGGCTATGTGGTCCAACAACTAATGAATCAGATCTAAACTCCACAGTCTGCCACATTCAATCATGAATAGTGGTGAACAACTAAATGACTAACAGCAGAA